TAGTTAGTAGTGAGTGTGTGTGTGTGCTCGAGTGTTAGAGTGATGCGTGTGGGATATCCAGGGTGATCCAGTGTATGTGAACAGTGAGATGTTTGTGCGCTGAGGTCGCCATAGCCAATTGGGAGTGAACTCGTATCTGAAAACCATATCTCTGAGTTTTGAGTGGGCGCATGTCGCCAGTGTGCTGCGTTACTGTTTACATGTGTGAAAAGTGTGTTTGAAAACGAGTCTGATTGCATATTATAGTATGAATGAAAATATTTTGTTATTAAACTTATTTAGTGGTGTGTACTATATCCTATATCCTAGTATATAGTGCAATTCTAAATGCTTTTTTCTTTTTAAATAATCCGATGAATGAAAAGATGTTGAAAATATGTTGTTATATACTTATTTAGTAGTATGTGCAAGGAAATAAGCAACAGCGAGATGACAAATTCCAGATTACATCATCACATTGAAAGCCAGATAGTCACACTGTGTCCAGAGAGCAGCACTGCACCAATAATACACCCATGGAGGTTCGTAGTACTGAAAACCAATGTCAAGGAGAGCTTCTCTCTCCACCACAACACAAGAGTCCAGTCCCTTCACACTCCTACTTGGCGCTCAGCGCCCAGCCTACTCCTACACAGCTACAATCAGCCTACTAGTAGACAATGCAACTGTTGACATCAGCGGCAACCCGAAGTACTTGAAGATGTCACCCTTATGCAGACCATCGCCAATACAAGGTATGTGCCCTCACATCATCATCATCATCATCCTTCTCCCTTCCCTGGCTTTACACCCACGTCTCTTCTACCCGAAGACCACCCCTGCGCCTCACTGTACATCCAAGCCCAGCCCGCTATGAAGGCTGGCCATGGCGCTGCCCTCAGCAGCGCCCTGCTTCAACACACGACCGCACGTGCGCAGCCTCTTGCTCCAATGCCAGCAGCCAGCCCGCGAGCTATTGCTCCAGCAGCGCTGCCGCCAGCCAGCAAGTGACCCCAATCAGACTGCCAGGGGAGAGCTCTTTCCTTTATGGAAAGAGCTGGCCTGCTCGCGCAGCCTGGCTGCACTGGCCTGGGCCCAGAAGCTTCCGGAAGGCCCCAGGATGCTGCCTTTGCTCTGCAGCTACTGGGCCTCGTTCGGTTGGGCCTCCCGACTGTCAGTGTATGAGGCTGCGATTCACGCCCAGGGCCTGCATTCTTTGGAAAGGCCCGACAGGCCGTGGAAATGTCTTTGTGGCTCGGCTTGTGTTTCTTTCAACCAACTGGCGCGTCGCAACTGCCTGGACCCCAAATATGAAATTGACAGTCAAAGGCCTCTTGTGACAAGTTAGGCCCGCCTTCACTTAGGGCGGGCACCACTGCAACCGGGGCCCCTTAGGCCTGCCGAGGACCCAGATCCGCATTCCCTCCTCCTTTACTTCGTTAGTCCTCTGAGAAGTCTCTTAGTCTGCAGGCATCTTCCCTTTCAGTTCTCTTTCATAGCCTGCTATTACTTGTGGTGCTGTTCTCAGAAGTTCTTCTCGTGTGAACCAGCGATCTTCCTTGGGATCCAGATGATGTCTGAAGCTCACATGGTACTGCATTCTCGGTTTAGGAGGGTGCCCTCTGCCTGATGGTCGAGGAACAGGCATTACTCGATGCTCCACGATCTGGTCGATGTCCACCTCACCATCCATGGTTGGGGGCAGCATTGATCTTCTTGAGGGAAACTGGTCAGTAGCAGCGAACGGTGCCAACTTAGAGGCATGGAACACAGGGTAAGTGCGTAAGTGTGCAGGAATACGAATCACGTATGAAGGCCCATCCGGTTGATCCCCTACAATGTCTAAGATCTCCCAGGGACCAAAGTACTGTGGCATCAGTTTTCGTGATATCCCCATCTCCTGACCTAGTTCAGATGACTTTACCCAGACTCTATCACCTACCTGAAAGTTAGAGGGCCGTCTATGTTTATTCTCAGATGCGATCATAGCATCCTGCGACTTCCTAATATGTTCAACAGCCTGCTGCAGCATTTGTTCATATTTGACAGCAAAGTCTATGCTGCCAGGTGCTGCGGTGGGTTGTCTTTCTGGTAGCAGAAAGTCAAGTGCAGTTTTGGGCTTCCAACCAAGATGTAACTGGTTGGGAGTCATACCAGTAGTACTGTGCACAGCATTGTTGTACAGACTGGCGACGAGAGGTAACTTTTCGTCCCAGTCATCCTGACTTGGCTTTATATAATGCCGAAGCAGGTGCTGTGCTACCCGGTTCATCTGTTCTGCCTGGCCATTTGACTCAGGGTGATTCCCTGAGGTCATCTGGAGTTTTGTGCCCATCTGTTCAGTAGTCGACTGCCACAGTTCACTTGTGAATCTCACATCCCTATCACTAACGATGGATGTAGGCAAACCGAAATCTCGTACCCAATTATCCATAAACAATTTGATGACATAGTCAGTTTTAACACTTCAGGCATAACGATCAGTCTAGCATACTTGGAAAAACGATCCACTATAACAAAGATGTGTCTCTTTCCAGACCTGCTGGTCACAAGGGTATCCATACAATCCATAGACACACTCTGACCTGGTCCTTCAGGAATCGGCAAGGGCTTAATCAGCCCAAGTGGAGCTTGAGTCCTTGGTTTGTCCCTTTGGCAAACCTGGCAGATTTCAACATAGCGTTTTGCATCTAGCGTCATAAAGGGCCACCAGAACCTCTGTACTAAGTTCGCTAATGTCTTCTTGTATCCAAAATGACCAGTTGCATCATGGCATTCTCCTAAAAATAAACTACGCAACGACTCACTACTGGGAACACATCTGGTTGTGTGGCGGGGCCACTGATGAGATGTCTCGACAATGCCTGAGAGAAGGGGGGGGAGAAGAAAACGGGGAAAAAAAAATAATAATTAAAAAAAAAATGGGCCATGTGCTTGACCAAACTGCTAAAAAGTCCAGCCCGAGTTTCAACTGCATTTGAAACTCGGCCCCTGACTAAACTGGTAAAACGCAATTTGAAATGCAATTACAAACTGCTTTCGTGACTGCGCCATATTTACCCCAAATTCAAATGTGCATTACTTCATCAAATTTGATAGATGTAACTTAACACGCCCCCCTAAAATTTCAAATGTCCATTATTTCATCATATTAGATAGATGTAACTTATCCACCATACCAGGTTTTTTTTTTTTTTTCTCTATAATGTCTCAAATAAACTGATGATTTAGCCATTTCTGCTCAACTTTGGTGCTTTGAACTATTGAAGGCACTTGCAGGTGATCACCCGCGAACACAGTTACGACTCAAATTTGGGCAAAAAATGCAATATGTTATCCACTTGTCAGATTATTAGGCAGGGACCGCACAGGCTGGCGGTTTCGCCGCCAACATCCGCCAATCAGTTTTGCAGACTCCACTGCTGGCGGCAAAAGCAAGCACTTTTGTTTCCACTCTGCCTTACCTTCGGCTTTCCAGAACACCGACCAATCCCTGTTCCTCCTTTCCACACGGGATGGTTTGCACACTTGCAGCCTCTAGAGGTTGGCAAACGTGCCAGCCATCCCGTACGTGCCCGAAGATTTTCCCTGGTAGGGACCGACCCTGTAGTGAAGTGGTGTGGGCTAGGGGATTGATAACCCTGCCCCCTCGACATGATAGTAGCAGAGGGTAGTTAACAACCCCAATGATAATACAACCCCTAACTATGCTAGGAACATAGACCCGGGTTGGTCCAGGGTGTCATAACTGTCGTAGGTTAGACCTTGGCCAGGATAGAGCCAGTAGACGCTGCCTATGAGAGCTCCGTCGGAATATTTGCCATTGAACTGCTAGGGGTTCGTGCTCATTGGATCGCATAGGACGACTACCATCTTAACCCGAAAACAAGGTACGTACCTTGTATTCAAGTTACCTCCGAAAAACGGGTTCTAAGAAATCGTTGTTAAATTTTCGAATAGAAGGTACCCTCGAATACAAGGTACGTACCTTGTAACTGTCACGTAACTCTCTCTCTCTCTCTCTCTCTCTCTCTCTCTCTCTCTCTCTCTCTCTCTCTCTCTCTCTCTCTCTCTCTCTCTC